AGACAACACGCAAACTTATTCCATGCTTCTTCCTGGATAAAAGATTGACATCGACATAATCCAGATCTTTGAAACCAAAGAATCTGCTTCTAGATTTTCTTGGTGAAGGAACATCCTGGTTGTCTCATTTTTCTCCACAAATGAAAGGTTGGTCCACCCATCCCCTCCACTGCTTCAACTTTCTGAGAGAAAACATAGATTATCTCTGAGACAAAGAACTTTGGTATGTCCCCTCCCTAGGGAGAAAAATCTTTGTGGCTCCAGAGTGATTTATCTCCTAAGGTCAATAAGGCAACTGTTGCTGAATGGAGCCTAATTGGAACATCCTTATAATATTCCTTATCCCAGTACTTGTATACAGCATATGCTTAGTATTGTGAAAGAAATATAGAGCAGTGTGCTCAAACTGCTTCAATGGCATTAAGGTATCATTATAATTCACTGAGGAAAAATTGGTTTTCTCCTTAAAGTTTGGAATCTTTGATTTTGTCTTCAAGATCCTAACCTAAGTACTTAAAATAGTGCCTACCACAGTTTCATTATACAAAAACTATACGAAAGCTGAATGAAAGTTGGCTCTGTATTTTGCTACTTGGGGTTATTTGCATTTAAGCTTTATTAGGTTAGTAATTTCATCCAAATTAGTTGAAGAGAACTCCTCCTTCAAGAGTTTAATGTGAACTTTATGCTTATTATTGATGTGCTTCTGGAAGTTCACATTGCAATGGAATTAGTAAGTTTGGCTAATCAGTCTTCATATGGACAGTTCTAAATGTCAGCTTGTTTTGAATGTGCACAATGATAGAAAGTCATACTTAACAAGCAGCAGTGAATCAGTTTTTAGGGAAAGACCCAGTTTCTTCAGAGGAATCTAGAGGAAACTCAGTTTATTCATTGAAACTCAAACTGTGTACCTCATTTCTTCATACAAAATGAATCATTGGAAAGCTAGTGGAAACTAGGATGCTTTACACAAAATAATTAATCACAAGATTTGAGATACTATCATTTTCCCTACTTGCCAAGGATGCCTGAGAGTTTTAATAGCTACAAGATTTCACCCACTGACAAGATTTCAGCCACAAGATTTCACCCACCTCATCCTGCACAATATGGGGGAGTGAAGCATGATCTCTGTAGCTACACTGCCTCATTAACAACAGCTGAAAGGTATATGAGACCCCCTAAATGCCTTTGTTTCCTCATTTCTACAATGTACTGCTTTGTCCTATTTTATGGTAGAGATCAATTTTACAGAAACATTCTGTGTGTGTGTGTGTGTGTGTGTGTGTGTGTGTGTGTGTGTGTGTGTGTGTGTGTGTTGAAAGATGGGCTTGAAGCTATTCATGCAGAAGTGTGCAAGACTCTATCTTCATAATTACCATCAAAAAGTCAGGCTGGAGGCATGGCTCAAGTAGTATAGTACCCACTGAACAGACACAAGGCTCTGAGTTAAAATCCAGTACTTAAGATGACATTTTCCATTAACAATCAGTCCAACAACATTGTTTCCTTGGACTACTGAGTTATTCTCTGTGTTCTGTTTCTGATGTTTTGTTGATTTTAATTGGGAAATCAGTGCCAAAGTAAAACAAACACAAAACGGTTTTTGAGTGAAAGTATAAATTTGAAACTTATCTTAAATCCACAAGAATCTAGTGAATTAAAATGTGTTTTATTTAGCCAATTCAATTATAATAAAGATGTAACTATAATTCATACTTGAACAATACTTGTGAAATGAATGTTTTAAAATCTTCACAAGCATTCCACTCTACAGATCCCCCCATTATCATTACCCTCTATATAAGAAAGTTAATCACATAATTCCAAAATTTTGATAAGATTTTCAAAGTAGAATGTGTGCACTCTATGAGAAAAACAGGACCTAAAATTTACAATAATTGTTATTTTTCACATCTTAAGTTTGCGATAAGCTGCATTAAGATTACAGATAGTGCCAGGTGCTGGTGGCTCACGCTTATAATCCTAGCTACTCAGGAGGCTGAGATCTGAGGATCGCGGTTCAAAGCCAGCCCAGGCAGGAGAGACCGTGAGACTCCTATCTCCAATAAACCACCAGAAAACCGGAAGTGGCGCTGTAGCTCAAGTGGTAGAGCGCTCGCCTTGAGCTGAAGAGCTGAGGGACAGCGCCCAGGCCCAGAGTTCAAGCCCCACAACCGACAATAAAAACAAAAACAAAAAAAGATTACAGATAGTTTCAACTGATTTTGTTCTTTCCATTAATTCTTCCCATTTTTAAAAAATATTTTTATTGTTATTGTAAAGGTGATGAACAGAGGAGATGCAATTATATAAGTTAGGTAATGAGTACAATTCTTTTTGAACATTGTCATGTCACCCCTTCCAATTTTTCCCATTTTAAAGACAGCATTTATTCAAAAACCATATTGCAAATCATTGTTGATCACAAGCTACTGCTTGTCTACACTTTGTTCAAAAAGGAGGAAAGGACAAATAATTTATTTAAAACCCATAGTGCATTTCTGTACTAATACTGTATAAGTAAATAAACTTGGCATCATTTTTACCATTTTCATCATTCCACTTAATTTACAGCGAAGTACTTTTCATTGTGCTTTATTTGTAAAAATACAGCAATAATAATATTACTACAGAATCATTGATTATTAAAAGAGGTCATAGAAGAAACATTATACGTATAGTTAATTATAAATAAAATATTTCATACAATAAAAAGGAAATATTGGTGTCCGTCAATAACATTGTATTATGTAACAAGCACAATACTGAGCGCTTTTAATATATTTTCTCATTTTAAGCCAGATACCTAGTGACTCAGGAGACGGAGATCTGAGGATCACAGTATGAAGCCAGTCCTGCTAGAAAGTCAGTGATACCCATGTCTCCAAGTAATTACCACAAAAGGAAAAAACAAAGCCAAAAGTAGAGCTGTGGCTCAAGTAGTAGAGGTAGTAGAGCACTGGCCTTGAAAAAAAATGCTCAAAGACAGGACCCAGGCCCAGAGTTCAATCCTTAGGATGGGCACAAAAACAAAAAAAGAATTCTGCAAAGAAGTTATTGCTCTTCACTTGTCAAAAAAAAAAAAATAGGTAAAAGAATGAGTGTCCTAAAAGGGAAAAAAGCCACTAATTCTTTAATCCTGATGAGTGATTAAAGCTAAGGATTCCAAAAATGAACCCACAGACCTATAGCCATCTAATCTTCAATAAGGGAGCTAAAAAAATAGAATGGAAGAAAGAGAGCCTCTTCAGTAAATGGTGCTGGCAAAATTGGTTAAGTACTTGTAGAAAACTAAAACTAGATCCTTATATATCATCCTGCACCAGAATCAACTCCAGATGGATCAAAGACCTCGGAGTCAAAGCAGACACTCTGAAAACATTAGAGGATGGATTAGGAGAAACCCTAGGTCTCCTTGGCACAAGCCGAAATTTTCTTAATAGAGACCCAGAAACACAACAAATCAAAGAAAGGTTGGACAAATGGGATTACATGAAGTTGCAGAGCTTCTGCATGGCAAAGGACATAGCTAGCAAGATGAATAGCAATCCCACAGATTGGGAGAAGATCTTCACTAGCCATACAACGGGCAAGGGTTTCATATCTAAAATATACCTGCAACTCAAAAAATTTACTCCCCCAACAACAAATCTTCAAAGAAACAACTGCCCAATAAATAAGTGGGCTAAAGACTTAAAGAGAAACTTCTCTGAAGAGGAAAGAAGGATGGTCAATAAACACATGAAGAAATGCTCAACCTCCCTAGCCATAAAAGAAATGCAAATCAAAACGACATTGAGATACCACCCCACTCCAGTTAGAATGGCTAAAATCAAGAACTCTAACAACAACAGATGCTGGAGGGGATGTGGACAGAAGGGAACCTTACTTCATTGTTGGTGGGAATGTAAACTTGTTCAACCACTTTGGAAAGCAGTATGGAGGTTCCTCAAAAGTCTCCACATAGAGCTCCCCTATGACCCAGCAATCCCACTTTTGGGCATTTACCCAAATGTTCACAAACAAGACCACACTAAAGCTACCAGCACGATTATGTTTATTGCAGCACTATTGACTACAGCTAACATATGGAACCAACCCAGATGCCCCTCAGTAGATGAATGGATCAAGAAAATGTGGTATATATACACAATGGAATTCTATGCCTCCATCAGAAAGAATGACATTGCCCCATTTGTTAGGAAATGGAAAGGCTTGTTAAAAATTATATTAAGTCAAGTAAGCCAGGCCCAAAGAAACATAGGTCCCATGGTTTCCCTTATTTGCAATATCTAGTAATTGTCTGAGTCAAGCAGAAAAGGTCAGATAAGGTGATGTTAGGGAAATGAACCCTAAGATATGTATTCAAATGTTTTTTTTTCTTTCATAGATTGTTTCTAACACATTTATAAGATTATTTCTTTGTTGCTTTGTATGTCCCTCCCCCACAGTATAACCCCTGCTTTCACTGTATTTGATATAGGTTTAATTTGTGGAGGGGAAGGGGAAAAATAAATCGTTTAAATAAGGATACAGGTGGACCCATTGCAACAATGAGATGTACAAGACGTTATGTGGAAAAATGAACTTTACAAGGGGTGGGGGGGGGAGGGGGGAGGATTGGGGGGGGCGGGAGGGGGGAGGATGGGAAGGGATGGGAAGGGGAAACAAAGGAGGAGGCTACAATGCTTGATAAGAAATGTACTCATTATCTTGCCCATGTAATTGTAACCCCTCTGTACAGTATTTTCACAATAAAAAATAAAAATTAATTTTAAAAAAGAGAGAAATTGTGAAGATATTTCTTCATTGAAGAGAGCTAGGGCATGTGTCCCATCTTCCTGTAATCTGAAACCTAATTAGATCCTTTTCAGAGTCTTCCTGGGAATGTAATTTATTTTCCTTGTATCTAGGATACGATGGAGTGCTTCCTGATGCCTTGAAATTTTCATACACACAAACAGCCTTAGTAGAAACTGGTGGAAAAATCAAAGGAAAGTTATTGGTCATTGATGCTGACCAGAAGTTGACAGTGGCAAAGCTTTGCTATATGTTTACAGAGTCCAGATGGGTACCCTGCAGGAGGGCCCCTGTGAACATTGTTATTAGACTCTGTCATGTCCAGATAAACCAACTAGAAAGGAAAAAGCCACAGCAGAGAGACGTCTCAAATTATTTCAGCCAGTACTCTGCATAGATATTTCAGTAAATAAAAATATAGGTTAATTATTGCTACTCTGCTTCATTTATTGTATGAAACTTAGGTAAACATAAAGAGCTTGATATCATGACACACTCCTTTCACAGCACACATGTGAGTCCAAGTCCTTTTGGTCATTTATCACCCTTAAGTCTTGCTCATCTACCTATGTAGCCTTCTATAGGCATCCAATATCATGCATCAGTTTACCCTCAAAAAAAATTGCATTTTTAAGATGTTGCTATTTTGTCTATAAAAGTCGTTCATTTTTTCACACAAATTTCTAAACATGAACAGATATTTTATTCATCTATTTTCTCTTCTAATTATTTCAGTTTTTTCATTATTTCATTTTTTATTTTTATTTTCTTTTTCTTTTTCTTTGTGTGTGTGTGTGTGTGTCTGGTCATGGGTCCTGAACTCTGGGCCTGGGCGCTGTCCCTCAGCTCTTCAGCTCAAGGCTAGCGCTCTACCACTTGAGCCACAGCACCACTTCCGGCTTTTTTCTTTTTGCTTTTGTGGTGCTGAGGAATCGAACCCAGGGCCTCGAGCATGCAAGGCAAGAGCTCTACCACTGAGCCACCTTCCCAGCCCCTTTATTTTCTTTTTTATTACAAAGGTGATATACAGAGGGGTTACAGTTACATAAGAAAGAAAATGAGTAAATTATCAGTGTTACTCCCTCCCTCATTGTTCATTATTTTTTTAAAAAAAACATGCCACAGCAAATAGTATCTTTGTTGTTGATTTGTTGGTTTGTTTTTATCGGCACAGATTAATTGTACAAAGGGATTTGATTATGATATTTTCAAACACATAGTTGTACTTTAATCCTATCCATCTTCACTGTAACTCTTCTTCCCTTTTCCCATTGTTGACAATTTTATTGAGTTTCATTATCCTATCTCATACATGGGTATAATGTATTTTCATCATATTCACCACTCACCATGCTTTCTTTCCCTTTCCTCTTCAAATTTCTTCCCCCTGCCAAGCAATCCCTCTTTTTTAGTTCTAACTTCTACATGTAATAGAGGGCATGTGAGGGCTGGGAAGGTGGCTCAGTGGTAGAGCACTTGCCTTGCATGCTTGAGGCCCTGGGTTCGATTCCTCAGCACCACAAAAGAAAAAAGAAAAAAGCCAGAAGTGGTGCTGTGGCTCAAGTGGTAGAGTGCTAGCCTTGAGCTGAAGAGCTGAGGGACAGCACCCAGGCCCAGTGTTTAGGTCCCACGACCAGACCCCCCCCCCCAAAAAAAATAGAGGGCATGTGATTATTTGTATAAGTCTAGCTTATTTCATTTAACATAATAATCTACATTTCCAATCATTTTCTAACAAATAAAATAATTTCATCCTTCTTTATATATGGGGGAAAATACTCCTATATTTTAGTTGTGCTTAGTAGGTCATGTCTGTAAATCCCAGGTACTCAGCAAGGGGGATTGATAGAGTCACAGTTTGAAACAAGCTTAGCCAAATCTTCCATCTCAACAGGTAAGCCGGGCACAGTAATATGAGCCTGTGAACTGAGGAAGGCACAAGAATTCCCTTGTGGTCTGAGAGAATGCAGGTCATAATTTCAATGTTTCTGAATTTGGACAAGTTTGCTTTGTGACCTAAAAAGTGGTCTATTTTGGAAAATGTTCTGTGTGCTGCTGAGAAGAATGTGTATTCTGATGCTGCTGGGTGAAATATTCGGTAGATGTCTGTTACATCTACTTCATCTTTGCAGTTGTTTAGATCTGTGGTTTCTCTGTTGAGTTTTTGCCAAGTTGATCTATCTAGTGGGGATAGTGGTGTGTAAAAGTCCCCAACAATTAATGTCTTTGGATCTATGTGAGATTTGAGGGAAAGTAGTGTTTCTTGGATTAAATTTGGGTGCTCCATTGTTTGGTGAGTAGATATTTAGAATTGTAATATTCTCCTGAAAGAAAGAGCCCTTAATTAGTATGTAGCGACCTTCTTTATCTCCTCATGAATTTTAATTTGAGGTCTGTTTTATCTATTAGGATTGCAACTCCCACCTGTTTATAGGGGCCATCTGCTTGGTAGATTTTATTCCATTCTTTCTATTTCAAAATATGTTTGGTTTGTGGGCAAGGTGTGTCTCTTGAAGGCAGCAGATAGAAGGATCTTGCTTTTTAATCCAACTAGACAGCCTATGTTGCTTAATTGGAGAGTTAAGTCCATTAATGTTGAGCGTTAGGACTGAGAGGTGTTTGGTAGTTCCTGCCATGTTAACAACCTTCTTGGGGTTTCTGTGACAACTGGGTTCTTCCTATGGTTCTTGGATTCTCAGTTAGGATGTGGTTTCTTGGCCTTTATTGTGCTCTTGTTGTTGTTTTTTTTAATTTTTTTTATTGTGAACATACTGTACAGAGGGGTTACAATTACATGGGCAAGATAATGAGTACATTTCTTATCAAGCATTGTAGCCTCCTCCTTTGTTTACCCTTCACATCCCTTCCCAGCCTCCCACCGCCCCCCTCACCCAATCCTCCTTCCCCCCCACCAAAGTTGTAAAGTTCGTTTTTGACATGACAACTTGTACTTCTCATTGTTACAAGGTGGCCACCTGTATCCTTAAACGATTTGTTTTTCCCCTTCTCCTCCACAAATTATACCGACATCAAATACAGTGAAAGCAGGGGTTATACTGTGGGGGAGGGACATACAAAGCAACAAAAAAATAATCTTATAAATGCATTAGAAACAAATGCATGAAAGAAAAAATTTAAATACATATCTACGGGTTCATTTTCCTAACATCACATTATCTGACCTTTTCTGCTTGACTCATACATGTACTAGATATTGCAAAAAAGGGAAACCATGGGACCTATGTTTCTTTGGGCTTGGCTTACTTCACTTAATATAATTTTTTCCAAGTTTTTCCATTTCCTAACAAATGGGACAATGTCATTCTTTCTGATGGAGGCATAGAATTCCATTGTGTATATATACCACATTTTCTTGATCCATTCATCTACTGAGGGGCATCTGGGTTGGTTCCATATCTTAGCTATGGTAAATAATACTGCAATAAACATAGTTGTGCTGGTAGCTTTAGTGTGGTCTTGTTTGTAAACATTTGGGTAAATGCCCCAAACTGGGATTGCTGGGTCATAGGGGAGCTCTATATGAAATCTTTTGAGGAACTTCCATACTGCTTTCCAAAGTGGTTGAACAAGTTTACATTCCCACCAACAATGAAGTAACGTTCCCTTCTGTCCACATCCCCTCCAGCATCTGTTGTTATTAGAGTTCTTGATTTTTGCCATTCTAACTGGGGTGAGGTGGTATTTGTTGGTTTTTTATGTGTAGAACATCTTTAAGTATCTTTTGTAGGGCTGGTTTGGTGGAGATATATTTTTTTCAGTTTTTCTTTGCTATGGAAGGTTTTTATTTGACCTTCCGTTATGAAGGAGAGTTTAGCTGGGTACAGTATTCTTGGTTGATAGTTGTTTGTCTTTAGGGCATGGCATACATCATTCCAGGCTCTTCTTGCTTTAATGTCTCTGCTGAGAAATCTGAGGTGATTCTAATTGATTTCCCTTTATAGGTGATTTTCTCCTTGACAGCTTTAAGGATCCTTTCCTTGGTCTGAATTGATCCTGTGCGGATTATAATGTGACAGTGGGATGTCCTGTTCTGGTCTGGTCTATTTGGGGTTCTGAAAGCTTTTTGTATTTGAGTAGACCTATATTTTTGCTTATTTTGGAAGTTCTCTGCTAGGATCCTGTTAAATAAATTTCTTAAACCATTAACTTCTGTCTCTAGGTGCTCCTCTACACCCATTATCCTCAGATTAAGCCTTCTGATGGTGTCTTGGATTTGTCTTGGATTGTTGTGTCTTCTTTCTCTATAATATATAGGCAGTTTTCAATCCCAGAGAATGGATCCTCTGCATGGCCTAACCTACTGTCAAGACTTTTTACTTTGTTTTTTATTTCCTTTTCTTCTAATTGGTCAGCTTTGATGGTTTCAAATTCTTTGTTGAAACTTTGTTTTAATCTTGTATGAACTTCTTTACTTCCTTAATTTGGTCTTCAGTGTTTATTCTCAAATCACTTAGTTGATTGGTTATGGTTTTCTTGGAATCCCTTTCCTTCTGAGGGGCTCCATTCAGAATTTCCTTCGTGGTCTCCCTCGATTCCTTCAGCTGTCTGCTTATGGATTCCATGAATGCCTCTATTGATCTTTGTCTATTCTCATCCCGCTCAAGCAATTCCTGTATTACTCTTTGATTAGCTTCCTCATGCTCATGTAATTCCTGTATTTCTCTTGCACTGTTCTCAGCCTGCTCAGGCAATTCCTGTATGAATCTTTGAGTAGCTTCCTCACATTCATGAGATTTCTGTATTAATTTTTGGTTAGCCTCATCATGTTCATGAAATTCCTGTATTAATTTTTGGTTACCCTTGTCTGTCTCCCTATCATGCACAGTCTTTTCATTCACCATTTTTACCACTAGTGTTTATAGAGCTTTTCTGGATTGTTCATTAACTGTTCTGTCACCTGATTATCATGAGTGGGAGTTGAGATACTTGGACTTGCCATTTTTCGTGTGTTTCTCCGGCTTGTTCTACCCATTGGTATGAAAGTAACACCAATTTTGTGCTAGAACACTATTTTAAGGCAAGCATCAACCAGACTCCTGTAGTTGCACAGATTGATTGATGTAGTCAAAATGTCTACAGATACAATCTATTTCAGCAGATACAATCTAATTCAACATCAAACAACTATGGATTCATGGGCTAAGAACGTCAAAGAGGGATTCAGAAGACCAGAAATTAATAGGT